CCCCAAAACCCCAAAACCCCAAAACCCCAAGATACATTTTCTCCATTGAATATTAATGAGAGATTTCAAATAACTCCCCAGAGCTTTCATCCTTCTCTTTTGATTGCTCCACACTATCAACACTTGCCTCATTAATATCACCAAGTTCATGATCGCTTCCAAAAGAGTCGCCTTGGCCTGAACCAGCCATGAAGTTTTTGATACTATCGATCTTGCCGAAATCTTGCTGAATTTTGTGCTCCTCTATAACAAATAGTCCATGGCCTTACCTGTGATGACTTGGTTGCCAAAAGTTTCGATCTTTTCCCAGTGCTTAGAGCTTTGGTCGAGTTCATTGTCGAGCATTTCTTCAAGATCCTCGCTATTGGTCTCGATCATAGATTCGTCAAAGGTTTTTGTGATGCCTAAGCTCTCAATATATTGGAGGATCTTCTGCCAATTTGAGCTGAAATTTAGCTGAGCAGCAAGCTGGTTTAGTTCCTCGTGTCCATCGTCGTTGTCTACTCCGTATTTCGTTGCAATCGGATAGAGAACTTTGACAAAGGAGCAACAGTAAGAGTAGAGTTCATCACACAGGAATATTTTTGGCTATAGATTATTGATAAAGAACCTACTGCACATTTGTAAAGCTGTATGTCTCACTTTGCTTCAAAGATAAGAACGATGTTTGCCAGAATATTCTGACTGCAGACTAAGTTCATTAGCTTGGTGGTTAGAGCCTTGCCATAATTCTTGGTTGAGACAGATACAAATCTGGAGTCGAATAGGATTTTGAATATGTATGAAAGCTTTATCCGACTCACTTTTTGGTCAACTGCTTCATGATTGAAGAAGTGATCAACCAGCCTATCCCAGCATTTTGGGCTAATATATCTAGTCAATTCAGAGTCCAGTTCTATAAAATGTGAACTGATGGCTCAAGAGTTTGGTGTATCAAAATTAATCGTCTTTGAGCAAGGAGAAAGTAAACTTAAAATCTAATCTTGAACCTAAAATATAAATTCTCCAGAGTTTCTCATATAATTTCAAGTGTTTTATAGTGCAAGCTTATAGAAGATTTCTGGATATTTATAATTAGATTCTATTTGAGATATCTTACCTATCTGGCATCACAGTAGTTCTAACAATATCAATTTCTTCGAAGTAATTTCTATCGGGGTTTTAAGCCTAAATTTTAATTACAAGTTTTACTCATCCACGATTAAATTTTCTAGTGTCAAAAAATGATGCCTTAGTTCTTCTTTGATTAAAGCTTTGTACTCTATCAAAAATTTACATTTGGTCTTTGGATCAAGGATGTTTTTAATAATGCTACACGAATTATCTTGATAGCTTACTTTCATAGCATTGTAAGGAAGTCGATACATTCAGAGTTATGGTCATCGCTGTGATAAATTCTCACAGCATGAGTGTAAAGGCACCTGACTAAGACTTGTTGTTCATCTCCAAATAAATATTTCATCAATGGAATACTGTAAATTGGATCCTGAGGATCCAAAGTTTTGTAGAGGTAGCTATTAACCACGTTAAATAAGAAGTTTATTGTGTCTCTTGTATACTCCTGACTCATTTTAGTTCCTTGAACATTAGTGATCCTTGTCTCAGTGTACTCTTTATAGCTATATGACTCAGAAAACCCACGGTTATCTGGAATCATAGTGGGAGATCTAGGGATATTCTCAAGTTCAAGCAATGGATCATCAAACTCAGGATGTTTCCTGTCCTCCTCTGTAGCTTTCCCTTCTCCATATTTGACTATTTTTAATAAATACTCTTACCTAGCATATTCATTTTCTTGTTATTTCCAATGACCATGTCCATGATTGTTTCAAAAATTTTTTGCCTAAAGTTTTGCCCAAGACCTTACCTCTGAATCAGGTATTTGATCACCCTATCGTGGTTATTTTACAGTCATTGTAGGAGGCTTATTTGTTATCAACTCTGTTAAAAATTGAGTTATACTAGTATTATCCAGGTATTGAATACAAAGACAAAGTATCCTTGAACTCAGAATCTGTTCTATTGATTGCTCGCAATCATGCTGCTTTAGTGCTTTCATTAAGGTCACCACATGGGGTAAGAAAGCATTCTTGGAACTTGTTAGGCCAATTTTGATACTCTCGAAAGCTTTCTTATAAAATTCATCTACCTTCTTGCTTAAAAAATCTAAAATGAGCAAAAGAATGTACCAATCGTGTTATTGTCAATCATCACATTGAGCATCAGAAAGCTTCTATACAAATCCTTGTTCATAATATCTCTGTTGATGTAGTCCATGATCTTGTTGGACTTAAGTAGGTATGAAACATTGCTTTGATATAGCAGCTCGTCGTTATAGTCTAGGGATGAAACTCATGGCTTACCAATATCCTTCCTAAACTTCCATTCATTCTTGGACTCAAAGTCATGTGGCTTACAGATGACTGTAAAAGCAATCGTAAGATTCTCATCCTTCGTCAAGTAGATTCTTTGGAAGCGTATCTTGTCTTCCTTAGTAGGAACATTATTCAAATGTTTCTCTAATTTATCTATTTTCTTTTCAACTTTCAGTAATAACTTATTGTTCATATTCATAGTATTCAAAGTTTCTTCATCAAGATCAGAGATTTCATCTGAATCTTCTTCGACATCACCTTCGAAGTAGGTATAATTCTGCCGTTTAGCCTTGAGTCTCATTTGTCTGGTCTCTTCGTCTTCTAAAAAGTCTATCTCTAAAGACTCAAAGAGTCGGTGTTTGAGCCGTTTCTTCAGAAATTCCACAATTTTGACACCAAATTCTCTACCTGGATAAAGAAAGAAGAAGTCATTCTTGAGGAACTCAGCCACAGAGGGTTGTAGCTTCTTTAGAACTTTCCTCTTGAGTATTGTGAATAGTTTTAACAGGAATTCACAGCATTTTATTCTGATATATTCTCCACAGAAGTACCATTCCCCATTGATAGCGATCTTAGGAGAGGAGAGATCGATATAAGCTTCTCCGAACTCATCTACAAAACTTTTATAGCTATAGTTTTATTATAAGAATTTTACAAAAATGAAACAGCTTCTCCGGTTGCCACAAACTTGTCAATGAATGTGCTTATTAACATCTCCAATGGCTTTGGGAGGTAGGGCAGCATCTTGATCATCTTTGGAAGAATCTCATGTAAGCTATACACATGTGAATAAGTAATTAGAAACCCACAATCCGTTAAAATTACCTGGTAAGCATTTTATCTCCATCCTCATTTGGCAAAAAGTCACTAATGATCTTACAAGCTTGTATTAACTCACTGTTGACCTCACTTGAATTGGGATCCTATCCAATTTAACATGGCCAATTACTGAATTCTTGCTGGCTTTGTTGACAGCATAGTGAAGAAGAATCTTGGCTTCATTCATTTTTAAAAATAAAAAATTAACAATACTTTTGTTACATTATGGGGTTTTGGGGTTTTGGGGTTTTGGGGTTTTGGGGTTTTGGGGTTTTGGGG